GTACAATATAGTTGTACTTAAGACAAATCTTCAGGGCAACCATAATGTAGTCCTCCGCATGTAAGGGCTTTGAGCTTCTCTACTTTTTAGACAAGAACGTGTCAAATTTTAGTTGGAGTCCGGACATTAAGGCGCTGGACGTAATATTTTCTCCCTCGAAAGAGTTTCATTTTTTACATATATACCACCATTCCTAAACTTCAATTATTTACATATATGCCACTTTTCCTACTGGTATACCATAAACACATTTTCATCATCTAGTATAGATCTCGAGGCATGGCACAAATCTAACTGTAAAACTAAAAAAAATTATTCAAAGTCACATTAAAATTATTCAAACTCACATTAGTTTAACTTGAGTCAAATCAATCTTGGAACAAGATGATAAACCATTTTTTGAAACTTCTATGTGTCTAATTGGATGGACAAACACATTCCAAATCCGACAAGTTTACACCCAAATCGAGTGTCTCGACAAGACGAGTCCAACAAGCCCAAAATCTCTCAATTTGAACATCATTATAGTCTTGAATGCCCACAGAATATCGTCCAATCGAGAGAACTTCTTTGGGTTATCCAATGGATTGGTCTGGATTCCATTCTTATTTGTACGGAGGCCTCCCTAGACTATAAATGGAGTCTACCCCTCTTAAAGGGGTATCTAAACCTTGAATCAGATGAAAACCGGAGCTTGGAGGAGGATCAAAGAGAGGAGCTAAAATCCAGTGTTTAGCCCTAAATATCTGATAAACGTTTCTAATTCTTGTCAGAGCCAACCACCATCAACCACCACTCTTTAGCTGTCATCGAGCACCATCAACTATCCCTTGGACTTTGCAGAGTAACAAAGCACCTTGTTGAACAACGAGCAATGTTGCACAGTAACGAAGCCTTTTGTTGAACAAGCCTGACATTGCAGAGTAACGAAGCAATGTATGGAGCAGCGACTAATTTTCTAAGTGGCAATGTAATATGTGGAGCAGCAAAACAATCTACAGAGTTGTGCATCATTTCAAACGCTGCACAACGACGCACTTTGATGACTGTGTACCGAAGTTCTGATAATTGCAATAGCTCCTAACAGTTGTGCAACTTGTCCTTCTGACTTCTGCAGACTAGCCCTGTAACTATGTGTCTCTTTCACACCAGTGGGGTAAGGGCATGTACATATACCCATCAAACTATAGTGGATCATTTCTGACTTTGTTGGGCCCCTTGATTTTCTATCTTTGTGGATTTTTCATGTAAAAATTTGAGGTGTTTCTCTCTGCTTATTTCTTTTAATTATTTGAGTGTGCATTGGATTTTCTTGCAACGGTAAGACACCAAATATTCACTCTTTTATCGCGAATCTTCTGCCACGCTTCACATATATGTACATTTAGCTTTTTAAAAATTAAATAAGTGATTTTTTATGTGATGTGAAAGATTTGGTATTGTAAATGTAAAAAAGGTAAAATTTTGGTGCCAAATATGTAAATACAAAGGAATTGGGTGGAATGTATGTAAATGACAATATCTTTTATCTGTGTATATCCCTTTTAATACCTTAATCACTATTAAAAATGGTTGCAAATGTAGAGATCCTTAAAGACTAGCCCTGTAACTATGTGTCTCTTTCACACCAGTGGGGCAAGGGCATGTACATATACCCATCAAACTATAGTGGATTATTTCTGACTTTGTCGGGCTCCTTGATTTTCTATCTTTGTGGGTTTTTCATGTAAAAATTTGAGTGTGTATTGGATTTTTAGTGTGTATTGGATTTTCTTGCAACGCTAAGACACCAAATAATCACTCTTTTATCGCGAATCTTCTGCCACGCTTCACATATATGTACATTTAGCTTTTTAAAAATTAAATAAGTGATTTTTTATGTGATGTGAAAGATTTGGTATTGTAAATGTAAAAAAGGTAAAATTTTGGTGCCAAATATGTAAATACAAAGGAATTGGGTGGAATGTATGTAAATGACAATATCTTTTATCGTTTGTGGGGCTTTTTTTTTTTTTTTTTTTTTTTTTTTTTTTTGGTACTTGTTATTCATGTTTTATTTTATTTATATGTATATTAAATATAAAGCAAGCTATGTTTTTTAAAACATGATTAGTTATTTTTAAAATTATTAAAAACACTTAAAAGTTATTTTAATGTGTTTAAAAACATGATTATTTTTTAAGCAAATAAAAATAATATATAAAAAAATATGATAAATAAACATAATCTAAAAAGATATAAAATATAGAATAAAAAATGAAATTAAAACAAAAGAATAAAAAAGATCTCATAAAATCTTTAATGCAAAACTAAAATTATCTGGAGATATTGAACTACTGGCTCTTACCTCTCTCAGTGGTGTATTGATTATTATGGGTCTCTTTGATGCTCTAATAATTGTAGGATTTTTACCTTTTGAAAAGTTTTGATGAAGGAAACTATGAGATTTAGGCATGGTTTGCGCTTTCAAGTCACCACTAGCAGCAATTTATTGTTTTATTATGCCCATGATTGAATGGTTCATCTCAACGCACCTATATTCAATAACCAAAGCGCTTGTTTTTTACTCGATTCTAATAAACTTGTATAAAAAAAATGTCTATCTTTTTTGCTTATGACAAATTTCTCGACGTCAAGTGGAGTAATTATGGTTGTTTTAATTGTTATTCTATTATATTTGCCTTTATTGTTTAAAATATCTTTCACTTAGAGCTTGAATCTAGTGATATTCTTAAAGTCTGATATATCTCACGTCATTATACTTGTGTGTTTTGTCTCTCTTCTCCTAAAGCACACTCACACGTATTTTTTGAATGCCCTACCTTAATTATCTTCTTAAAAGGTTATATTTTGCATGGAAATTTCATTCTTGTTGATGACAATATCTTTCAATTTCTCTTTCATAAAGATACTTTCACCTCTAATTTTCATATACAGCTTATCTTATTGTTGTGTATTCCACTGCGCATCATCTTTAGATTGAGCGCATTTATAAAATTTTTAGTCATACTATTACCCCTATGAATTTGCACATACGGAACATTAGTTGGACTATTAAATGAAAATATAGGAAATGGAAGTTTAGGCAGGAACTTCCAACGTTTATTTGAGTACTTTACAACTTTTATTAGTTTTGGAGCTTTGTTATTGGGCTTTTAGTTGTTTCATTATTTTGGCACCTTGGTATAATTCTGGATTGGTTTCTTCTATCTAGACTGATTGCCTTTTGGTTTTAGTTATTGAGCTACTTGTTTTACTAATTATGGATGTTGGGTTGGATGACACTCACTAATTTTTATATTTCTTTCATTTGAAGGATGGCTGGTTTTGATTTTTTTTTTTTTTTTTGTAGATTTGTTTGTCATTCTCTTTTAGTTGTTAGAAGGGATGGCACGTGTTGTTTATTTATGTATTTTTGGAGGGATGCTTGGTCGTTGGTTTTGATTCTCGAGTTACCTTTCTTGTTAAATCTTTTCTTGTTCTTTGTTATTTGGAGTGGTCGCTAGCTTTTGTTTTTTTGCATTGAAGAATTATCAGTCTGTTAAACTATTATTGATATTTTCATATAATACATTCGCTTAATCCTTTTTGGATTTTGGTTCAGTTTTCTTAAACTGATAAGATATAAATATTGTTATAATGTGGTCTAAGCTTTGGTTTTTGACGGTTTTGGATGTTGTGATGAATCTCATTAAGCTCCTGATGCTCAACCAATCTCTGCTCTTACCTTTTGGCCTCTCAATCCTTACCGACATTTTCTTACTTCATGTTGATGATGTCATTTTATATTTGCTACGATGTGTGATTTATTTCGTGCTCCACAATTCATTTTGATGACGCTGCTTTATTCATTTCTCTGAGGCATTATCATTATGTTTACTTGATTTGCAGTCCCTACTGACATTGATTTGTTATGTTGTAGTCATGGCTGGTGGATGGTTCTCTCGATCCTCTCACTGTTGTTTGGATTTGAGAGTTCCCTAGTCGTACCAGATTTCTTGGATGGGGCCTCTATAAGAAATGTTTTTGAGTCCGAGCTCCTGGTAGCTTCTCTATTTTTCTTTTAAGAATATTGTTTATTCCTTGGATCCTTTTCCTTTTTATGTTAATTTGAATTCTTTGTAAGACTATTTATTTAATAATGCAATTGGTTATGTGTGTGCCCTCACTATCCCCTTAAAATATTTTCTTCATGCATTCCATATTTGGGAGAGGGGCAAAAGTAACGAAGACAACAATCTAAGGAAGCTATTCATTAAGCATAACAAAAGATTAAAGGGAATTTACATGATACCACATAATACTTATGTGTTTATATATCTAACATCCAAAGCTTCATATTTCATGAAAAAAAAATTAGAGTTTCATTATCATTATGGCACAACACATTTTGAATGCTTTAATACAAGCTTTGGAAGTAATTATAAAAAATAAATCAATAATTAAGCACTATACAGTTCAACAATAACAGTTCCTTCCGATGGAGACTATGAGTCTCGGACCTGTCAGCCGCGAAACACTTAGCCATTAGGTCATATAAAACATGTCAAATTTTATTAATATGTTAGAAGTCTACTCATCATTACAAAATTCTAAAAATTCATGGCTCCTCAAATGCTTTATGTTCTAGGATTTTTACTGAGTTCTCAAGCAATTTCATCATATGCTTATGAGCTCATCTTTAAATATTTACAAACATGTTGTCTAATAGATTGTAAATGAATAAATTTAAAGCCACTTATATACAAGTCACATTATTCTTATTTACTTGCTATTCAACACCTAAGCATTCATATCTACATGCATATCACTCAAATCTCTAAAACATTACATCAAAAATATCACTAAAAATGAAATACACCTTTTCATGCAGAAGTCTACGACACCGAAATATTTAAGTGCAAAGTCTAAATTAAGTCATATCATCAAATGAACATGGACATTTCATCAAGTGTTTGATAAACAGCAAACTAAATTTGTTCAAACACAAATAAAAGAAGTGAGCCAAAGATTAAACAAATTCATTTATACAATAAGTTTAAGAATTCCAATCAAAGTTGTTTAATCATATAAACAAACAAACATAAATAAACATTACAAGAATAAGAATCGGCCATTTCATCCAACACACTTATTTCCCTTATAGCCTTAATGTCAAATTAAGATAGAGAAAAAAAGATGATTCAGCAATCAAATCATAACCCCTCAATATAATCAAGCTCCAGATGTCCTAACTTTGGAAGATATGTACGTTTAAGTCCAAGCAGTCTGTGCTCATACAGTCATCCTGCAAATAATTATTGCCATCTTTGGCAGCTTCCACTCATTTGATTTCATTTAATCATCTGAAGAAAATGATTCATTCATATTAGTTGGATTATGCTGTAATTCTTTATATCAAGAGCTACAAAATGAATTTATAAACACAGAGCTGCAAATCACAGCGGAGTTAAATGAAATCAAGTGACATTCTAGAAAGGTGAGGGGGTAAAGTGGGAAAGTACCATAGTAGTGACTTCATAGTAGTAGGATTAGACTCATCATCTTCCCGGGCTTCAGTGGTAGCCAGTCCAGCAGTGGATAGAAGAGTTTTGTGAGCTTCGGTTTTGGAATCGTGTGATTCTTCTGATTTTTCAGAATTATCAGTACAGTATTTCTGTAGCCATCTGTCAGTCTCCCAAAGAACATGCATGATGCTTTCTCTAGCCGAATAGCCATGGCTCTCAAATGGCAGAATCACCAAACGAGAGACTGTTCCATGGCCCTTTAATGCATTAAAGAAGCGATCTGACTGCATTGTTGCAAAGCAGTAACAATTAAGCAAAAAATAATTAATTAATTAAGCAACTGAAATAATTAAGCAAAAATGAAAACTAAAGCAATTGATGCTTCATAGACATAAATGAGTCTGTCAATTCATCACCCATTTAATTAGGTTTTAAATTACTATGGATTATGTTGTTCGTATGGACTTCAGGCTTATGAGTCTGTCAATTCAAATTTGGATTTTGGATAAAATTAAGGATAAAATTAAGGTTGAATCTAAAAGCAATATGGAATTGAATTGGATTTGTCGTGTGATAACCATATTTACTAATGTAAGGATGAAGAGCCAATAAAAAGATGAAATGAGGCATATCATTGAACAACTTAGATTGAATAGAATTTATTATTCCTTGTATGTTTAAATTATATGTGTAATTACACCGAGCACTGAAAAAATGCAAAAAACCAGGTATTGAGGGGAGAATTAGTTTCTTCTACATATCTTCTTGTTAGCCTAGTAGGGTTCCTCATTTATCCCCCTCCCTCTCTGAACCCGCTTCCATCTGCTGTTAAGCAGCAGCAAAACTGCTGTGTTTTTTTCTGCAGACAACTTGCTGTCCAGACGCCGTTCAAACCAGAATTCAGCCGCTAGCACCACTCCTGCCTTCATTGCCCATCCTACAATTTATCTAAAAACTGTGTTCTCTCACACAATCTAGGAAACCTAGAATGGCGTTATTTAGCATCAAAGCCAACAACAACAACAACAACAACAATAAAAAGTTTTTATTCCACTAAGTGGGGTCGGCCATTTAGCACCAAAACCTGGCAAAACATAAAATTTTAGGAACCATATATTATATTTATTTTTATGGCATTGGTGGCGGGCTACTCCGCTAGGGTCTCGCCCGATGGCGATTCCCTGGTTTGATCCTTCGGCTTTTCGGAAGTTCTCGTACTCGACGAATTCTGCGTTCGTTTTCCGTGATCGTCAACTCCTATCCAACAAAGAAGGGATTCTGCGGCTTCGTCGTCTCTTCCTCGCCAGCTTCTGCGTGGATTTCGTCGAGCTTGAGTTTTGCGGCTCGTCTTTTTGCGTCGCCCTTGTCGCTGCGCCTCCTCCGCGGCTCGTCACCGCGTCAACCTCGTCGAGCTGCGACTGCGATTTCGCCTTGATCTCTTCGGCTTCCCTGTCCGACTTGACAGAGCTTCTCCTGTGTCTGTTGTGCTTGTGTGAAGCACGCTCATGGCCTCAGGGCTATCCTACGCCGCCGTCGCACTCGCCGGTGATAATCCCGTCAAACCCTCTGATGCTACAGTGGTTCATAAGTGCAGCGCCCTTTTCTATCTTGCAGATAGTTCAATATTCCCGCAGATGTACCATGATTTTGTTGCAGGACATGGAGATTGCAATCTCATCAAAAGAATAGAGAATAAGGCAAAAAAACCAGCATTATTCTTCTCGGATGTTGAAATTTCAACTCGTGCAGAAAAATACAAATTATTACTAATTGGAAAGTTTCAATTAGGTTGCCCTAAGATAGAGATTATCAAGAAGGCTTTTAAAGATTTCGAACTAGTTGGGGTTTGGCAGGTGGGTCTTTTCGACGGAAGACGTGTTATGATACATGCTGAGCATAGAAGAAGATTACACAAGGATTTTCTCAAAGAAATTCATCACAATCGAGAGCAAACATATGAAATTGCTCAAATTGACCCTGATTTTGATCCCAATCAAGAACCTCCAATTGCACCTATCTCATTCTCATTACTTGAACTCAAGCTTTAATTCTTTCATCTACCTACCTTATATGCAATTGGGACTATATTTGGAAAATCTTTGCAGGTAGCCACACATACCATTCATTTCTCTAGGCCCTCTATTGCAAGGATTTTGATTAAAAGGAATATTACACTACCAGATGTAGAAATCTGGCTTGGTTCTGCTCATAATGGTTATAGACAAAAAATCATTATGGAACAAAAAACTTACAACTGTAAGCACTGCAAGATGTTTAGACACCCGGGGACACCCGCAAGAGAAATGTTTCAGATTGCACACACAGTTGAGAACCAATAGTCAAAAGCAGGAACATGATGTTATTGAACCTCATGTGCCTGAACGCGCTCCCAACAAAATTTATGACAGCCAATAGCCAACCTGAGGGGGGAATCACCACAAGATAAGAAATGGTATCTGCCCCTGGAAACCCTTCTCTTGACCATAATAAAAGGGATAATGTTCTGATCGAAAGTCAGGATAGCCCCGCAGCTCCTATTCAGAAAGCATCAGATGCAGATATGACAATTCACACCTCACAGACACTGGAACCTATCGTTCTACTGCGGTTCTAATATCTAATCAAACCGAGGATCACATGAGTCAGTCTTCAAAGGAAAAATGGTAGGTTCACACTTCCCGGAGAAAGAAGAAGGTTGGGGCACACTCCAACTTGAAAACTTAATGGATGATACTTTGGTTACTCTTGGCAATGACACGACACTTCAAAATTTGTTATCTAGCTCTGCTCCTAAAACTAGAGAAAGAGGCAGGACTAAACTGGCTCGTCCTTAGCTACTTGTTTTATGCATGTTTTAAATTTTTTTTGAGTCTATATATATCTTTTGTTGGGGTAGTAATGTATTTGGTATAGTATGGGTAAGGTGTCTCTACTCGGCCCTCTCATACAACTTTTATGTATCTTTTCTATTTCAATAAAATCAACTCTTAGGCTTTTCACAAAAAATATATAAATATATTAATTTTTTACTTTCATTTTATTTTTATTTTTTTATTTTTTATTTAAAAATTGGTATTTGGCAGCGGCTCAAATACCAATTCCTTACGCGCTAGGTCATATGGTGAGCAGCTTGCTCTATGTGCTATTATTCGAGGACCACCACGCCACGAGGATTTGAACCCTTGATCTGAGAGGACTTACAGTAACCCCGCCCACCAACAGGCCAAGGCTTGCACATCACCCACCTTACACTATCTCTAACCATAACCCTAACCCTAACCCTTAACAGCCATTTCTTTTTTAGCTGGAATTTTAATTAAAGAAAGAAACAAGACGCAGGCGTAAAAGAACCGCGGAATCATATCCATGATTCCTTCATCTGAATCGGATCGGTCCAGCACTGGGAGAGCCTCATCCATGTTGGTTTGACGCCTCCTTTCTATAGAGGAATCCAATCCTAGTTATCTAGGGTTCACCTATTTGATTGGTGTATTTTAAATTTTCAGTTTTGCCTATGTTTCTGTCAGGACAGCCGCCAATGTCTCATGTTTTCCCGTCTAGGGATGTATCCAAGATGAGTGGTACTCTAGCTGTACCTCACCCCAAGGAGGTGACCATCCTCAACCTTCCCATCCTCCACAAAATTCCCGTCGCTAATGCGGCCGCTATCTCCCATCACTGTTGCAGGCATCCTATAGCCACCACAATACCGCTGCCTCTCAACCATCCAACCTCCCATCCTACTGACAACTTCCAGCGGCCAATCAGCCATCACACTGTCGCAGCTTCCCTACAACCTACTTTTAGTCCCATGGCAACCAATTCCCGTACCACCCAACCTTTCCACCATAAGTCCCTTGATTCTTGTTGTCTCGCTCTACAGTCCACTCCTTCCCCACCATCTTCTTTATCACAGCACACTTACCCTCATCTGTTGCACCACTGCCACCTCCACCCTCCTACAATTAGCCTTCCCGCTTACAATGCAGCGAACCAACCACCACCCTTTCGATACAATTACAGATGTTTTTGTCTGTATCTGCTGTTGTTATTCGCCTTTCAGTGTGTCAATTGTAACCATATATTAACTTTTCTATTAATAATATTTGTTTGCTTATTATTGTTTGGGTTAAATTTGATATCAAGATATCATGCCGCCATGGAGAAAACATCAACAAGATGTTTAAGAGCTTACTATGGATGCTATGTAACAAAACAATTCTTCAATTACAGCAGATGCTCAGCAACTTTTAAAGAAGGCAACATGGGAAAGTCACCCACAGCAATAATGGTTACCACCAAGATGAATTTAAGGATGAAAACCCATTTCAACAAAGAGAGATCATGATTTTGGAGTAAATATAGATTTACATGAATTTGGAGTAAATGCAGATTTACCTAATTTTGCATCGTAGGCATGTTTCTCAGGATATATAGTTTCAGTTGCTGGCATCATAATGGACCATGCAAAATTTGAAATAATTCACTAAGACAAATCAATTTCATGAGTTGGTTTATTAGGAATTTCAGCTCAATCACGACAATCTTAATAAAGCTTCTGAAGTTAGATTTGATTTGTCAAATGAGCTAAACAAAGCCCCTGTCTTAGCACTTCTAAATTTTGGTCAAGTGTTCAAGGTAGTGTTATATATTTTAAATTTTTAAAGTTTTAACACTGCCGTTGCCGGTCCCAAGCCCGGATGAGAAAAGTGGAGGGTTGCGTTAGGTAGTCGACAGCCAGCGTAAAACTTGTCGAAAAAATCATGACATGAATCCTTTTGATCATTGTGTAAGTGCTAGGGCGTCCCCTAGAAGCGACGCGCTGTATAGCCTGAATACAGTGAAAAGTGTGCAAGGGCCGCTACACCGGCGCCCGGGTGTAGTGTTAAATAAGCAAGGGTTCCCACATTACGGGCGAATGCGGGTAAAGAAGTTAGTCCATGAAACTAATGAAACTAATATTAGGATAGGATCTTGGAATATAGGCACTCTCAATGGTAAATTAATGGAATTAGTTGATATTATGATTCATAGGAAAATTAATATCTTATGTATTCAAGAAACTAAGTGGGTGGGAGAAAAGGCTAAGGAGATTGATAATTTAGGTTTTAAACTTTGGTATTCTGGTAAGAGTCGCACTAGAAATGGTGTAGGTGTAATTATAGATAAGAGTTTGAAAGATAATGTTGTAAAAATTAATAGAGTTGGTGATAGAATTATAGCCCTTAAGATTATCATTGATACTAAGATTTTTAATATTATAAGTGGTTATGCTCCTCAAGTA